AAGCTGTTTTAAAGCACATCAACTTGAGGTTTGAAGCAAACCATGAGATATCCATGTAGTCTAAGACCACAGACATGAGAACTATTTTGGAGAGCTCAATGACATGTAGGTAACTGAGTCGTTCAAGACCTAATGAATCAGACTCTCACAGTGTGAGTTCAGGACATGATTCATGTGCACACAAGTCTGCGAACCCCTAATCTATCTGCTCAGAGGCCCAAGGACTGAAGGAAATGAATGACTTCCCCAACAGCAACTAATCCACACCTGGAACAGTTCTCAAAGTGCAAAAGGCATCAAAATCACTAGCAGGGCTCGTTAAATACAGTCTTCTGGGCTTCACGATCAGCCCCCAAATTTACTACCTCACAATTCCTGGGGGAGGTTGCTGCTGCTCCGATGGGGACCACACCTTGAGAACCTCTGGTCTAGACCACAGCTGGTATAAACTGCCCTCCAAGTATGGCGCTACACACTGGAAAGCCAACACAGGGCAGGGGTTTCAGAAATGAAGATGAAACTGAAATAGAAAACGTGATTGAACATAAATTATATTTATTTATTCCAAGCCATTCTAGTCATTTAAGGAGATATAAAAAACTCCAAAAGATACAAAGACAAAATTAAGAAAGTGATAAAACATGTGAAGAGACAAAATAGTTCAATAAATGCAAATACTAAATTAGCAAAAGAAAGTAGATAATATGAAGACTTTTAAAGCTATGACGGCTGGGTGTGGTGGTGCACCCCTGTAATCCCAGAACTCAGGAGACTGATCACCAGGAGTTCAAGGCCAGCCTTGCCTACATAGTCAGTTCAAGGTCACTCTGAACTGTATAGCGAGACTTTGTCTCAAAAAACTGCAAAAGAATAAAATAAAACAACAAAACCTATTATGACAGTATGAAAAGATGTGCAAAATGAATAAATTTCAGATCTACAGTACTATATAGGTGACTTGAGTATTTACCGTAAGTCACTTTTGAGTATCTTTTTGTGTTATTTACTTGGGAAACCTCATCCTAAACCAATCTGCGAATACATTCTTTTACTCAAAACCACTTCCAAAAAATGGCTTTCCACTGGTTCCGCACAAAGCCTGAGAAGCCACAGAAAAACATTCCTAACTCATCACCCGAATTCCACATGACATTCCCAGCACTATGCTAGAAAAGATATTATTCGAATGCTGCTATAACTGGTGTTCTTTTGTCATGCAGCTCTTAACCCTGAAATAGTACATTCAAATATATAATTCTCTCAAGAGCTCAGAATATCTGCAATTGCCTGTGTATACCTGTGATTTGTCTTGCTGGTCTAAGAACACATCCAAAATTCATAATGAATGAATTCTACAGACGGCACCTCCTAGAGAATATCACATACACTTTCTATCATATTGTCTTCAACACTTTAGAGTCCATTTTCAAACTCTTTTTTTACTTGTGATTCTTGCTGTGCTGCTGTTAGTATCAGCTACCATCCCCTCAAAAGAGAATAATACAGCTCAATGTTAGATTCCCTTCATTACCCACGTTACTTTACCCCAAGCTGCTCCCTCTGCTTCATAGTGTGTCTGCCTAGACTTCCCCTTAGTTAGGCATATTTGTAGATATAGAGATATTTACACACACATATATTTACATTTACACACACATATATATTTGCTCTCCATGTCCCCCTCCTAACATCCTCCTGGCTTCCCAAAAATAACTTCATTTCTAAGGGCACAATGTAGGCTGCAACTTTTACAAAATCAGTGTAAATACCATCCTGTCAGGCCAGGCATGGTGGCACACACCTGTAATCCCAGCACTCAGGAGGCTGAGGCAGGAGAATCACTGTGAGTTCGAGACCAGCCTGGGCTACAAAGTGAGCTCAAAGCCAACCTGAACTGCATAGTGAGACCTTGTCTCAAAAAGACAAAAAACAAACAAAAAATATCATCCTGTCAACACACGTCCTGCTGTTTTCTGGAGCTAAGCAGCAAAGGCAGGTTGTAAACAACTCCTGCTGTACAGACTGGTGAATAATTCAGAATAGCTTCAGACTTTTCCCAGAATTCATTAGTAGCTATTCTTTACCATGAGGATATGAATTCTGCTTAGGGCCTTGAAACCAATGCTTCCTAAAATATTAGGAAATCTCTCATTGGTCAGTTGACTGGGCAAAGTCCTGTAACAAGGGACACACAAGCATACAGTATGGTGAGGGATATAGCTCAGTGGTAAAGCACTTGTCAAGAATGGGCTAGGCTTTGAGTTTAATACCTACCATCAAAAAATTAAAAATCTAGAGTTCATCTAGAATCAAATCTCAAATAAGGATCAAGATGCAATATGCATACATACCAACACCCCACAATGAACATGTTCATTATGTATCACAAACATACTAATAAAAAAAAGTTTTTAAAGAAGTCATTACCCAGATAGACTTAGTAGCATACATCCATAATTCCAGCACCCTGAAGAGGCTCAAGCAGGAGCCCAAATTCAAGCCCAGCCTGGACAACTCTGTGACTGAGCAGGACCTTACCTCAAAATAAGAAAGTTTAAAAAGAGTCAAGGATGTAGCTCAGTGTGAAAGCCCTGGGTTCAACCCCCAGCACCAGAAAAAAGTCATTATCTACCATATAACTAAGATAGGGGCTGGGGATTTAGCTCAGCAGCAGAATGCCTGCTTGGCAAGCACAAGGTCATGAGTTCGATTCCCGGTACCGGAAACCACCCCACACACACAAAAAAAAAGTAACTAAGATAAAACTTAAACACAGAATCTATGCCTACTTATAGTTATTAAATCTTAGTCTAAGATGATCTTCAAATCTTTTGCATCTAAAATCCTATTTTAATTAGAAACAGGACTTTATGAGAATTTCTACATAAATATATCATGGCTATTTATGATTGTCTGCTTTCCTTATTCTAAACTTATTCTAATCTGTCTTTAAAGATAGAAACTTCACTTCAACAAATAGTGCTAGGAAAACCAGGTACCTACATGCAAAAGCATGAAGTTGGACCTTGAACTTTATACCATATACAAAAAGTATCTCAACATGCATCTAATCTAAAACTATAAAATTTATAGAAAAAAAAAAACATGTAAAGAAAGCTTCATGACATTGGATTTTGGAATAATCTCTTAGACACAACCATTGGTTAAATCACCAGTATGGAAAAAAAAAAAAAAAAACAGTGTATTTATCCAAAGAAAAACATGCACCTTTCAAAGTTAGCCATGAAAAGCAAAGTTCAGTTTTATTCAATTACATTCTCAATTTGATCTAACAACAAAGCTACATGAAAATACAACCTTATGTTAAAACAGTATACTAAATTGCTTAATTTGAAGCAAAAATCAAATACACAACTATAGAGAACCCTTAAATTTAAAAAGAGAAGCATCAAAGGTTAGATAGAAGTGTGATATTACTATAGGCAGCTAAATTAGATAGAAATTAATATACAGTCAGAGAGGGACTGGGCTCTCCAGGAAGTGAGTAAAATATAAAGACATCAGAATTGTGGCTGGAGGTACATCTGAAGAAGGCCAGGCCTGAAGATAGAGATGCAATGGCCAGGGCTACCTGCCTCCCTAAGGGGTAAACAGTAACTCGGAATTACACTGTAATTAGCCCATCTGGCCCAATGAGTCCAGATAGGCGTCAGTCACCCAGGTGGTGACGAGAGCATCTGGACCACTCCTTCCCAAAAATTCCTTTGTTCTTTCCATGTACCCCTACCATGTGACTCACTTCCCCACTGGATCAGTATTAGCTAAGCAGCTATACTTATAATCCTATAGGTTGACTATGATTTGACCCACTTTGTATTCACACTGTGACCCTGTTATATAAATTACCCTTGACAAAGAGCCCGGTGGAAACCTACTTCCAGGACTCCTCCTGTCTCTCAGGAGCTATCTCTCAATAAACCTTTCCTACTCTTACCCTCTGCTGTTCCTTCAAATTCATTCTTCGATTTGCGGGGACAGCAACTGAGCACATCTGACATCTGACAGGTTGGAAGCTATATTTCTCCTCTACTGATATTACTGCATCAAGGATGTCAATGTTTGGCAGCACACCTTTGTAAAATGCAGATTCCCAAGCCCTGCCCCTTACCATTTCTATTTGCACTGAGAAAATAGATGGAAGCTAATAATCTGCATTTTCTTTTTTTTCTCCCTCTACTCCCTGCTGAAAACTGAACCCAGGACCTCACTCACGCAAAATACCCTCTAGCACTGGGCCCCCAACCCTGTAACTTGAAAAGTAATCTGAACTTTTAATGTGTATTTTTAACAAAAATTCTAGTAACACTTTGAGAAACACTGCAAAACATCCACAGGAAATCATTTATAAAAATCAAAGCCATAGAAGTATACCTTATAAGGAAGTTTAGATAGCATCTTACTATAGCATCTTATTCAACCTGATTAATACTAGAACCTCTCTACAATACTGACTGAATGACTGATTTTAATAAGAACTTCAACATTTATACCCTCAAGTAAATACGTCTATGTAGTCTAATTACTTACTTTAACAATACTACCATTATCTGAAATTCACGATCACTTCTTAGAATTAGTTTTCAACACAGTGTGTAAGCCTTCAAGTACATACACAAATTACAAGACGGAAAACTGGTTTTCTTATGGTATTGTTCCTTGCTTTTGATGAAAACCAGAATGCCTCCACACCATTGTCCTGGCTTTAAAGGAGTGGAGAGTATTTCCCAAATTCATCCTTTCAAGGCTGAGAGATGCAACCACAGAAAACAGGATGCTTAAAAGAATGCAAGCAGAGGACCTGCACGTAGCTCTCAAAGAAGTATTTTTTAAACACTTTGAGTAGAAGAATGAGTATAGGCTCTCAAAAAGCCTGTTCTGAATAATGTTCACCCAGATCAGTAAGTTCAAGTAGGCTTGTTTAAGAAATTATTATTGAACATTACCAAACACATCAATATTAATAATAAAGGAGGACATACCTGTGACTGCTTTCTTTGACAAACTCAGTAGTATTTGGTCACTTCACTCTCCAGAGAAATGTAAAAAATTTCTCTAGCATCCAGCTCTGGCAGGAAACCCCAGAAAGCTTTCAGATCTACAGAAAGGAAGGAAAAATGTCTCACCATCATTAATAAATTACGACACCCAATCTACATTTCTCTATTTTCTCCCTTCCCATATACCACCATATAGTGTGCACGGAGTGAGTTCTCCTCAGCCTGCATTTATCTTTATGATAAAGATAAACAAATAAATGAATGAATGATAAATAATGAATCTTTATTTAGAAATCTGAAAAATGAGAAAAGCTTTCGAGCCAGCAGAAAGTAACCAGGAAGTCTTCTAAGAGATGTAATTATATGGTTCTTTCAGAAGAGAATAAAAAATGTGAAACTAAATCCACATGTATGAATCAACAGCATCATACTGAGATAATAATGGCACTATAATATAGAATAGCAAACAAGGAACCACAAGTAACTTTTATAAACAACTTTCAAAAAATGGGCAATACTCCAAAACATCCCCAGGTACCTCTGACCTATCTAGACACTAATCTCTGAAAGTTCCAGTCTTTGCCATCCCACTGGCAAAGTCTACTTTGGTCTTAGATATGCACCTCATACCACCAGGCCTAATTGGCAAGATAAGTTTCACAACACAAATGCAAGGCTTCACCCTTACTCCACAACCAGGAAAACATGAATTTGAAAAGAATCAATCTAGGAAATTATCCAAAAGAAATACAAAAACAAAAGACAGCAGGGCAGCAATAAAAAACATTTAAAGTGACTAACCCTACAGTCAGGTACAAAAGGCAGAAACTGAAGAAAATACTAAACAAAAGCACAAAAACTCATTATTTAACATCACAATAGGTAGAAGTTAGAGAAAATTTACCAGAAAAAATATCTTTTAAGAAAACAAGGAAGACATGGTGACCTACACTGTAATCTCAGGCAGGAGGATCACTGAGAGTTTCAGGCCAGCCTGGGCTACATAGTTCAAAGCTAGCCTGAACTACATAGCAAAACCCTGTCTCAAAAAAGAAAAGATCACGAGAAGCCACTTTGAAGATATCAATATGTAATACAACCACCATTGTTAATTCCCTACCACTTTGTTTGTAACTCTGTATTGTCTGTATTGTGCTTGTGATATGTTGTAAAATGTTGTATGTCTGTTAATGTTTCCCTCCTTTTATCTTTAAAATAAAAAAAAAGAAAAGAGTAAATATTATACTTAAGTGTTTAAAGTAGAAACAATTTAAAAGCCCAAAAGGAAAAGAAAATAGAAAAAAAAATACAAACAAAGCTTTTGCAAATGAGGGGAATGATTGGGGGAGGGGGAAAAAAAGAATCAAGATGTATAATGTACAAATTCCCTACGATGAATGTGATCATTCTATACATCAAAAGTGTACCAATAAAATTAACTTTTAAAAAACAGCCCAACAGAGGAACAGTCAAATAAATTGGGTACAACCACATAATTTAATCACAATTCTGTCAGCTATCAACAAATTTTATGAGTTTAAAATACAAAGAAAAAAGAAAAATCAAGGTACACTGTTGAAATTACATATAACCACAACTATTTACAGAGATGCAAAAGACAAGATATAATCTATTCTGATATAGTTATAAATAGTAGGCAAAATATTTCCCCATGTTTACATGGTTTCAGGTGAGTAATTCAAGTCAGTCTTGTAGAACAAATACATTTTTTCAGAATCTCTACATTCTAAGCACTTCTCAAGGACACTCCTTGATGTCACAACTTTTATACAACAGCTCAACGTAAGATGGCTCCTGTAAGTCACTATAAGAGGGTGTATATGCATGCGCATGCGTGTGAGTGTGTGTGTGCGTGTGTGTATTTAACCCATAGATGGCTTCAAAAGCTTAGAATACATTGTAACGAACTTTTCATAAAAGAAAAAAAGGGATGAAGTAGCATAGTATGGCCTTAATCCTCAAAACTGGGCATAGTACAGTGGCACACACCTATAATCCCAGGTCTTAACAGGCTGAAGCAGAAAGATTACAAGTTCAAGGCCAGCCTGGACAACTTAGCAAGACCCCATCTCAAATTTTTAAAAATAAGCTGAGTGTGATGGCACACAATGGTAACACCAGCACTAAGGAGGCTGAGGCTAGAGGATCACAGGAGAGTCCAACCTGGGATACACTGTGAATTCAAGGCCTGCTAAAAAGTAAGTAAAAAATAAATAAATAAATTAATTAAGATTAAAAGGGCTGGGGTGCAGCTCAGGGTCCACAGAGTGCGCCTGGATTCAGTCAATACCACAAATAAGAACAGAACAGACAAGACCCAAGGCATAGCAGCAGTGGTGACTGGACATGAGAAGGAGAGGACATGAAAAGGTGAACATTGCACATGCAAACAAACAAGCTCTTCATAGTCAGATTTCCTCAGTGATCCAAATTAGCTTTCTGCACTGTAATCAATTAATGGCTTATCAAGTACCTAGGAACTTGGAGTATCACCTTGTAGTCAGGACTGTGGGTATTTAATCGCAAGAGGTTTTGCAAGTACTATTTCCAAAATCCCACATCAACAATTCTGTCATTGCACACTGGAGAGATACAGGCTCTTCTGCTGCCTCTTAAAAAATTACAGATTGCTTCCAGATGCTTTTCAGGTGATTTCAAGCCTTTCCTCACTCTGCAACTCATGAATTATGAAAGGGCATCCCTACTTCACGAGAAATACTTCTCCCATCTCCGCGTCCGCTCTATATTCTCCTCTTGCACTCTGTGTTCAGCACTCACACATATGCTTTTACTTAGGTAGCGAGCCATTGCTATGTATCAGTGCAGGCTTTACTAAGAGCCACTTTTCTACTTCACCTTCATGGTTCCGCCAGCAGCAATGCTTCACAACTTCAAAGGAAGCCAAGTCCTCTGGCAGTAATGTACAAGACGACATTAAAAAGCAAGGTTAAATGAGACACGAGCAGACTGAAAGGACTTTCTTACAATTCACTGGTTCCTGATAAGTCCCCTGGTTGTCATCTTATTTAAAAACAAAATAAGTCTTCTGCTAAACAGGGGGGACAAGGGCAGTCAGCAATTCAGCCACCCTCAGCTCTCTCCCTGGGCAAGCGCTTTCCTTCTAACAATACCTTCTACCTCCACAGAATAAAATCAAATTCAGCCTTAGCTCCTTCGGTGTAATTAGCTATGTCACAGCCCTAATTTCAACAGAGAAACAAAGTTTAAAGCTCATTTCTAGACGGCACACATTCAGTGAATTTAGACGTCCACTGTGCTAAGTTTAAAAATCTGCTAATAGGCAGAGTGCACACAAAGAACAGCAAGCTCACCAAACGAGCACTGTTCTGGGGCAGGGCGAGACGATTTCTACCCATAGCCTGGATTTCTCCATCAGAGAAACAAATGTAGGGGGCGCTGGCACAGGAGGCATGGATTTCTCTACATCACTGGATTGGCTGAGCTGTGATATAATCAAGTGCTTTCCTGGAGGGTAATTAACAAATTAACCAACTGAGCGAGAAGTGCCAAACCATTCAACAAGTTTTCAAATATATGAAGCTGACTAAGCTAATCACTGAATAATTTCATTCTCCAAAAGGGCTGACGTGGGACAGGTACTACATTATTCATGTTCACGTGTACAAACTCGCAGAGTTGAACAAAATATTCCACACTGGCCCACAGTCGTCCCTGATACTAAACACACTAACAATAACTTAGAGTCTTAAAGTTTTTAGACCTATACTGATCACTGAAATCTAATTCCTGAGTTTTACACATGACAGAACTGAAGAGCAGGGAGACTAAGTGACCTGTTCAAAATTAAGCAGACAGAAAATGGGAAAGACAAAGGTAGCTGCTGTATCTTAAACTCCCACAGTGATGCTACATACGCTTGAGGCATCTTGATCACAATTCCTCGGGAATCAATCCATTAAGTTGATTTCATTGCTCCACTGACCAGAAAATCTAGCTTTAGGGAAAGCAAAATCAATGAAGCGTCAGTCTTCAACTTCCATCCAATCCCTGAAATTTCATAATAAAGAATTCTGTCTTGCTCCCAAAAAGCCCAGTGCAATTTGGATGACCTTGAGAGGGTCTCACATACAGAGCAAATGAGTGAGTTGGAGCGTATTATAAGAGGGAGGGAAAACAGGCAGAGACTACAGCATCTTAGAAATATATCAAGAATATAGATTTATTAAAATGAAGGTGAACAAAACCAAACTCAAGTGTTTAAATGATATTTTTCAACAACTACTCATAAGGTTTTTTTTTTTAAAAAAAAAAAAGTAGTCACTGTTCAAAGTTCTGTAATCAGAACTTTTGAAAAATGTTGCATTCTAAATACGCTTCTTGAATACTCCCAAAGCATGATATGTGTACTAGGGCTTTATGAAGGCCTACAGAAAAGAAGCTGCTTGGTTTTGTTTAGCCCAACGTTTCCCAAAGTTATCTGACATCTCTGATCTGCACAGCGTATACTGACATCCACCAAGAAATCCATTTCAGGAAGTACATTCAGCATCACTAGTGAAGCACCTAAGTATGACACCCATTCAGCAGTACCTGTAATGAGAGAGGGTTCCTCTTCAAGACTCAACTGTAGAAATCAACTCCTGAAGAAAAGGAACCCCATGGTTACAACAAAAGTAACCACCCATTTGTGCTAAGTGCAGAGGACAAAGCATAGTCTAAGTATTTTTTTTTTTTCTGTGAAGAGGCTGTGTGTGTCATCAGCCACCAAATTACCCTCTACAGACAAACAAAAGGATCTTTTTAACACAAATATATTACATACATTGTTCCCTACCTCACATTTTCCCCCAAACAATATACACTCACAATGTTTATAAATTGCCATGTGAAATATAAAAATATATTTTGTTTTTTGGTAATTTTTGACTGTGGCCTTTCCACTACCCGGCCATAAATAATGCAATTAGCCAGAATCCCCCCTATGAACATCTAAGTCATCTCTAGTCTTTACTCTGTGTAAACACTACCAGCATGGGTATCTTCACATACAAAGGATTTTTTCATGCACATAATATGTAGATATATAGAGGATACACTCATAGAACATGTAAATGTATTTCTATCTGGGGCTATGTATTTTTATCTAGAAAAAGTGTCTAAAACTGAAATTCCTAGTCTAAGGAATATAAAATTTTTCACATTATAGATTTTGCCAAACTGCTGATTAAAGATTGTATTGTTTTATATTCAAACTTTCTACAGAAATTTTTTAATCTTTCCCATCTAACCATGATAAATGCTACCTCAGTGTAGTTTTAAGGTGCGTATCTCTTAAAATGAGCACAGTTTTGCATCTTTCCATATAAGCTACTGTTATTTCCCTTCATGTAAACCATCTCCTTCCCATTTTTCTACTGGACTGTTGGACTTTTTCTTACGGATTTGCAAGAGTTCTTTAATATGAGAATTAGTCCCTTTGTGATATAAGAAGCAAAGATTTTTTTTCCAACTTTCTTGATTCTTGTCTTATGCACAACTTTTTCAGGCTAGTTTAGTTTTTATAATCAAAGTTAGCAATTTCTTCTTTTATGACTTCCCAGTTTGCTGTTTTACTTAGAAAAGCCATTTTTTACTCTAAGATTATAAAATAACTTTCTAATGTTCTTTTATGACCTACTTTATTTACGAAATATCTGTTGAACTCTGATTGACTTGGGCTTAACATTTTGAGGTGCTGCTCCAATTGCACTTTCCCCCTGATGACAACCAGGTTTCCCCACTGCCATCTACTAAAAGGACAACCTTTGAATACCACCTTCTCCATGAGCTAAATGTGGCACATAGTACCAATTTTCCAATTCTTTTTTTTTTGTTTGTTTGTTTGGTTTTTCTCCGGTACCGGGAACCGAACTCACGACCTTGCGCTTGCCAGGCAGGCGCTTTTTGCCGCTGAGCTAAATCCCCAGCCCCAATTTTCCAATTCTTATAGCCTTGCTATGCCAGGTTTTGATCTCTTTTGTCCCAGCTGTTTGTGTTTGTTTGTTTTTCTAAGTGAACACAGAATCAGCTTGTTTATACTCCCCCCACCAAAAAGTCTATTGTTCACTATAATTACCTTAAATATACTGATTAATTTAGGCAGAACTGACATATTTATATTAAGAGTATGACAGCCCTTCTAATTTTTTTCATACCCTTTTTGTAACACTCAGGAACATTTTTAAATGTCTTCAGATACAGTACACCTATTTCTTAAATTTATTCTTAGGTTTTTTTACCCTCTTTTATGCTGACAGTCTTTTCTTCCATTAAATCTCTTAACGGGTTATTCTCAGTATATTATAATATAGTAAATGTGCCTGCATACCCAATATTATTTCCATTTTTATGGCTTTCACATAGACTGAGAATTTATTATAAACATAGTATTTACTATATTATAGTAAATATCACATTTACTATGTTGTAATTATTCTTTATAATAAGTTTTTCACTTGATTCTCCTGGATGTTCTAATTGTATATCCCCTTATTTGCAAATAACATTCATTTCTTTTCTTTCTGATTTTACACCTTTTTAACTTTTTCTTTCTCTTGTCTAACCACACTGGTTTGTGATTCCACAACACCATTAATAGTCAAAAATAGTGGATATCCTTATTTTTCTCCTAAATTTAACAGCAATGTTCTCAAACTCCCCCTTCAATATGGCGTGCAATACTATTATTTCAGTTCTTATAGCCTTACTATGCAGGTTTTAATCTCTTTTTCCAGAACTGTCCTAGCTATTCTGGGATTGAGATGAACATACCTTACTTTGCTAGGATATTTTCCTAATTATATTTTTATACTTTAAAAATCAACAATAAATACTGAATTTTATCCAATCTTTTTTCTATTTAAATTTAATAAGATAAATGCCATTAATAAATGTCAAGCCAAGCATGGTGGCGCATGTCCATAATTCCAGCACTCTGTAAGCACAGGTGGAAGCATCGAAAGTTTGAGGCCAGCCTGGGCTACGCAGTGAGTTCAAGGCCAGCTTGTGCTACACAGCAAGCCTCTGTCTCAAATCATCATCAGCCCCCACCACTGAACTCTTCTTGCATTCCTCAAATCTAAAATAAACTTACTTGCTTTGTTTGGTGTTTTGCTCTTGTAGCTTTGGCACAGCACACGCAAAGGTGCTCCCTCACCTGATTTCCCAAGGCTCCCACACGCTGAGCAGTGCCATCACGCCTGCTCTGCCGCTCACTCACTCTTTCCAGCCGCGCTGCCTCCACACACACCGGCTTGCTCTCACCTCAGTGCCTGCCATGCATGTTGTTCTGATCCTCTGTCCCCAGACAGCCTCTCTCCTGTCTCTGCTGACATGACCTAATCACAGAGGCCTTTCCTGTCTACCGCACTGAAAACAGAAACTGCCTTCCAAGTTTGTCCCTCTCCACTCCTGACCCTGTCTTACTTTTGTTTGTAGCACCTGTCACCATCTAAAAATACTCACAAGTATGTGGAATATTTAATATCTATTAATATGTATATTCCACTTCGCCCAGGAGCATGTAAGCTCTGTGAGGTCAGAAGCTTCACCCACCCTGCTCAGCACTCGCTTCCCAGCACCACCGCAGGCTGCAAAGTACCGACTTGATAAACATATAAACGCCTGTTTTGTACACAAGAAAAATCAAAGCTTAAAGAAATTAACTAAATCCCACACTGGCAAAGCTGAGACAGCAATTCAATCTGACTTTCAGTTCCTTAGGTTTAACCATTAAAACACAAAATGCTCATACAGTCTTATGAATACTAAATCACAAGTTAATGACATCACTAAATGAAAATCAGAAATCAGAGGAAACTGTGCAGACAATCCCCACTCAAGGTTAGAGAAAAGAAGTCAGAAGCTGGTCTCCAAATAATGCCTTATGAAGAAAATGCTCAACAGGGAAGAGAAACTGGAATGAGGGAAAGGAGAAAAGGGAAAAGGAAAAATAGATATATATATACAAATAAGTATAAATACATTATATTTATATACATACACACACACAGATTAAGATGGTTATACCACTACTTGCTATTAGCTGATCTTGTATTTTTCTCATGTGAACTGATATTTTAGGGTTCTGTATTTCTTGTTTTTACACTTAATAATATAATGGAACTCTCATACAGGATTTAAATTTTCTTTATTTTAAAGAGAATAGTCAAAAAATAAAAGAACAATAGCAAAATACAAACAAAACAAAGCAAGGATAGTAGGGATTTAACTTTGAAATAACTCTTTATTCTTTCAAAGTTGAATCTGTTTTAGTTTCCATGGGCAAGTTACAATTAGGTATTCTTCATTTTCTCTTTCTCTTCTATCCCTGGGCTACATTCTTCCCTCAATTCCACTCTGAGCTAAAAACGAAATTTCACAAATCTGTGTATATGGCATTAAACAGTATCTTGTTTTCAGAATTCAATCAAACTTTATTTTAGAACTGTGGGACTAACCCAACATTGCAGTGTCACATTTAATTTCATTAATGTAAATCAAATGAGTAAAAATTGGGCTAGTAAGGCATAACTGTGAATTTAAAAAGCAAGCCTTGTTTGCTTTATTTCTAAATAGCAAATAGCATCATTTTCCAACATTTACCATAAAATTATAGTAACTTTTCCAAATGGCACACGCTTGAGGAAAGCCAGAAGAGAACTTCTCCAATAGTTCATTATACTGTTGCTCATAACTTCCTAAATGTCTCTCTTCACTGACTCCTATTCAAAGGTAAATGGAAGGCAGTAAAATTTATGGAAAATACATCCAACTGCTTAAAATGCATCAACCAGAAGAGAAAAGATGTTAGACCTGTACAAGGAGCTGAGAAACTGCACCGCCTTCTCTTGATTTTGGTGACAGGTAACACCGCTGGCAGACCCGTCAGGTTCTGAAACACTTCCCCTATAGAGCGGGACTTCATCGGAAGTCCTCACCTTAGTAGAAGCCAGAGTAAACGCCTGCCCCTTCACATTTTTACACAGCATCACTTTGTATACCACAAATGTTAGTTTTCACACCAGGGAGGAAGCTAATCCTAGCACACTGGACCAATTTCCACTTTCTTAGAACATTCTGTTGATTGTTCCCTTTACTTGCTTAGCAGTCAGGATGAGGAGAAGCAGCAAATGATCTTTCTGAAAACCTGTAAAACATAACCAGGTACGTTTGCCCTTTAAGCTCTGCACAGAGACAGGTGAAATTAAACTCAGGTCTAAGGTTTTAAATTTTGCTATGAAAATTATATTCTAGCACTTGACTCAAATGTTGCAAGATTTTAATAAAATGAAATTATTAAAGTGAAGTCAACTGAAGTCAATTTTTACATTTCATGGGGCAAGGGAGAGACATTAAAGAAGACTTTTTTAAAGTAACATTTTAAAGATACCACACTTTATAAAATTACAGGAGAAAGTGAGAATTGTACCAATTCAAAAATCCCTTAGTGTAGGGAAGTAAAGAAGTGTCATGAGGATTAAGTGTTTTTTAAAAAAGAAAGCTAAAGTCTTAAAATTTTAAAAATTAAAGATCAGCATGAAGAAAACTGTGCTCAATATAAAAAGGAATTTATTCATTTTGCTTAATACTAGTCTGTGTAGCCCTTTCTCTACGAATTCTAGAGATTCTTATAAATGTTATCCAGTTAATCCTTCAGTTACCAGTACAACCGGAAAAGGCACTGCTCTTATTTCACAGAACAGACTTTAGTAAGACAAAGACACACAGAGAGATGTGTATGTGTGTTAGTTTCAGAAAACTTCAAAGCAAAGAATATAGAAATTACACCCTGTTTCTTTTTTGGCTTGGGCTTTTTTAGAGGGGAGAGAGGTGAAACACACACACACACACACACACACACACACACACACACACACACCAGAAATATATACAATGTAAGACTGGCTTAAGTGAGCAAGCAGATTTGGAGTTTATTGTCCAACGGTCATGTGACAGACTTGCAAGAAAAATAGGTTTATACAACCCCAGTTCACATACCATCATTTGAAAAATATGTTTTTTATATCAAACCCTAAATATCCTGCATGTTTTCTAATCCTGACAAACAAGCATCACCATTTCCATCTCTGCTCCTGACTCTTGAATGCAAGAGATGTTCTGAAGCACTAAATGCTAACATTCCTATAAAATCCCTAACATGGAAAACACTAAGACAGTAAAATAAGACAAGCTGCTACAGAAGACAGAACAAGAGAAAAAGATCCCGCCCTCTGCAGGGACAGGCTCAACAAGCAGTGTGATAAAGGTCCTTGGCACCCAAGGGGCACCCTGCACGTATCTCTGTTAGTATTTGTTTACCTGTTTCATCCCGACAGGAGGCTATGACCTCCTTGAAGGCAAGGCCTAGGCTTTACATCACCCTAGTCTACCAGCTGCTGAATTCAAAGAAATGCACTAAGAATAACTGACTTTCCTAAATTCTCTTGTCAGTAAAACTCACAGCATTTATGTTCTGTGAATTTTTTCCCCTGGATGCTGGGGATCTAAGCAAGGGCTTTGTGTATCCGAACCAAGCATTCTAGCACTGAGTTACATCTTTCAAGTCCTCAATTTTTAAGACGATCCCTCCCCGACAAAAAGCCCAGCATAGAGACCCATGAGTGTAATTCTAGCACTGTAATCCCAGCAGGCCACTCGGACTGAAAGTTCAAGAACAGCCCAGGCAATTTAGTGACCCTGTCCCCAAATAAAAACTGCAAAAAAAGGCTGGAGATGTACCTCAGTGTGAAGGCCCTGGGTTAATCCCTAGTACTGCAAAAAAAGTCTTTTAAATCCTATCCTGAACACATATTACAAGCCAAATGATAGTAAAAAGGATTTTTTAAATTATGAAAGGAAAGCTATTTTAAAGTCAGATCCTGAGTCAGCAGACACTAACTTGATGGTAATATGCTTCACAATAAACAATAAGTCTTGTAACCACACAAGTGTTTCCTAACCCTACATGTATGTCTGGAGTCTGTCCAGACAGGTGAGCAAACAACCTCAAAATGCCCATGATGTCACAGTGTTTCTGGACCGCTGACTGACATGCTGTTGAAATCAGGCTTCATCTGCTTGGGTGTTGTCTGTCTGTTCTGTTTTTGTTTCTTGAGCTGCACTGGTCTGACTGCACTGTCCAGGCTGGCCTAGAACTGCAGAGCTCCAGCAATTCTGTCTCAGCCTCCCTGGTAGCTGGATTTACCTTCTTTATTCCATGCAAATAAAGTCTGTCATACTAGCTTCCATCACAGGAAGCGTACATTTGTAGTATGATTTGGGTTTAGTTTTCTTATTGGAAAAAGGGATACTAAAGTTAAAAAGGGATGATGCCAGGAAAGACCCAGAGCTAAAAGGAACTTCAGGGAAATCCAGGGGTCTGCTTTGCTTCAGCCTCTCTCCACAGTCTTGAACCTTTGAATATGCTCCCAAGAAACACACAGACCACCAGCGCAAGTTGGAAGAATGACTGGCACGTGGCCCTGTCGCTCCTGCACCAGGCACCTGCCTCTCCGTAACTTCCTCTGCACATGCACTCACTGGTTCCCAGATGCTAAGAGTTCCCTGAGACAGAGACAAAAAAAAAACCTCACTGAAGTAAAAATGTGACTTTTGGCATCATGCTCTGACTTTAAAAGGTCAAGTCCCCACTAGATAGCATTTGAGAGAATTCATTAACATCATGCCCACTACCTCTGCCCCACAAATAAAAATCCTGGAGCAAAAAGGCAATATGGCCACAGGCCAATGACAGGAAGATTAAAACTTCAGTAGAAGGACGCAGAGGGCAAAGATATTATTATCAGTTACCCCATGTACACTCCTAACACCGACATCAAGGACACAGATTATTTACATGACCCATAGGTTTCAGCAGACGGGCTGAGGAAGGCAGGGCAGGAACCCTCTTCTCTTTCTTCTCGTTACTGCAACAGATCACAGATGTACAAACCCTAAAACTAATACAAATATTTTACACCCCCCGCAAAACAGTCCAAATGGCATTAATATGTATATTCCTGATAGGAAGACGTAGTCGCTTGCTCAGAGGTCACTGTCATTATCAAACACCTCTGCCTTACTGGCAAAGAGAACTACACTCACACTCACACCCACTGGCAGCAGGGAACTGAGGTAATGACTGACACCTTGATGCCCTTTTCAGTGACCCCACTGAGTGAGACAGTCATTCAAGTCAGAACAAGAATCTTTACAAGATACTTCGTAAGCACAAATATTCCCTCTGGAGAATAG